TCATCGACGGTACCATCAGCTTTGATGTGCACTAGCTTGCCCTTCTTTTCGTAGTAGCCGACCACCGGCTGTGTCTGTTTGTTGAACGTGTCCAGCCGCTTCTTAATCGTGTCCATGTTGTCGTCGACGCGGCCGCTGGTTTTGCCTCTGCCCAACAAACGCTGGATCATGATGTCTTCAGACACGTCGAAAAAGATCACCATCGAGCAGTCCATGATCTCGCTCTCGAACATCTCGCCCTGCTTCACCTCGCGCGGGTAGCCGTCGATCAGGAAACCCTTGCTCTTTTTGTCCTTCACCTTCTCTAACATCGCCTCCTTCAGCAGGTCGAGAACCACCTCTAGCGGAACCAGTTGGCCGGCGGCCATGATGCTCTGAAGCTGCGTGCCGCGCTCACTCTTCGACTCCACCTCGGCCCTCAACAAGTCACCCGAACTCAGGTGCGTCAGACCGTACTTCTCTACCATCTTTGCGCACTGCGTGCCTTTACCTGATCCCGGGCCACCGACGATGAATATGATCGGAAGGTGAGCTGCTTTCAATGGTCCGATGTCGATGTGCTTCCTGGACACCACGGGCGCCATTCTTTCTGTCAACGCTTCTTCGCTCTTACACTCAACACACTCGAATAAACACGAGGACAAGTAAACGCTACGCTATCTGCCACCAAACGGACACACACCCAATAACGCTGCACCAACAAAAACAAGACTAAACGCAACTTTAGACACAGCCGTGCCAGCTGCCGATCTCCTCGTACCGTAAAATGAAACGCAGGCTCATTTCGACAGCGAGAAAGGATTTCTTTTAATTGCTACATTTACCATGGAACAACCTTGACATTCTGGATTAGATTTCGATAGCGTCGTTAAGTATATGGTATTTAAGATCTCGATACCGAATTTAAGGGTAGAAATGTACTGTGCAGAGTATACAGAAAAATATATTTTACGCCAGCTGCATTATAGCACCGCCTTGCTTTGACTTAAGAAAGCGACCATATCTTTAGGACGTGGTATTTAAGTGCCTGCAGTGCATAGAACGCAAGACTACGTCTCTTAATTTGATTGAATAAAAAATGTTAAAGTCAAAACGTCACGATCCGTGGATGTAAAATGGGAAAACATGACCCCGATTTTCTGGGACAGACCTTCTGAGTGGAGTTTTCCATACCGCCATCGATATCCACGAAAACGTGCAGTGTAAAGAAAAAAATGTATCCCCTACTATACACTGATACTGTGGTAGTTTAAAACAGATTAAAATCGTACACCACGAAATACCGCAATATTGCACCGCCCTTTGCTGCAAGTATCCTGAACGGACAATTTGAGCATGCCACGGCTCCATGGTGCTTAAAAATCCGCAGTGCAAAAGACGCATAATCGCGCCTTTCTGATGAGTTGACGGCAAAGGCAATCAAGGTAAAACAACCCTCTTCTGGGGTCGTTTTCGATACCGCCGTTAAAAAGACGTCATTAAAATAAGAATACCAGATGGAAACGATCAAAATGCACTGTGTATATGTGTAACTATGTTCCACACCACTGGATGACTGAATGTTCCATTCCTGTTCAAAAAAGTGCAATAATTTTGTTCGAAATGGCAAACATTCAAATATAATTTTCCTGAACCAAATTTATAAGAAATCACTACTCTTTTCAAAGGTTCTGATAAAGTTGATTGATTGGTTGCCCGCTTGTGTAACAATTAGTGACCCTTGTTTTTCGATTCACGGTGGAAAGCAGTAATTTAGAAAGAATTATTAATTTCCATTATTAATCAACGCGTTTCAACTTCGCACACCAAAGTCTCAATCACGCGTATTAAAAGCGGCATTCCGGTGAAGTTCTTTAGATGTTTGTGCATATATCATTACTAACATTTCATAATAAATATGTGTAGTTCATATGGGTAGATGTTGCTCTGCCTTGACTTGAATAAATCTGCAAGTAGAGAGCAGAAAAGTTTACAAGTGATCTGGACCGCTCTACCGCATTTCCTCATTCACTTTTATGAAATTCTTTTCATTTTCTGCAAAATAAGCGTATTCAACAGTACGGTTCATGCGATAAACATCGACATAGATTCTAGCCTTCGCAAAATTGCCCAAAATGACCATTCTTAGCTTTCAATAGACCTTAGACTATTTTTTGCAGTACTCACTATTTCTACATAATGGAAAAGCGAACAAATGGGAAGATATTTACTACACAGTACGGATTACTATGTGAACAGAAAAACAGACCTTGTTGCCTGTTG